AATTGAATTGAATTGAATTGAATTGTAGAACTTGATGCTTCAACTAAGCTTACTCCAAAACCTATGCTTTATGGCAGGGCTCTTCAAATCTCCCCAATCCCAAATCCAGGCCTTGTTTTCAGTTCCCCCAGGTACTTAGATGAATAACTACTGATTCTCATTGGCTGCAGAGGCTTCACACCTGGTTCACAGGTAATGGAAGGCTGGAAAATGAGCAGTTCTCGAGCCTTGAGGACCGTGATTTGAATAGCCCTGCTTTATGGCCTCCTGGTCAGCTTTCACAACACCAGCAGTCACATGACACATCTACCTGGTTCCCCCCTAAGGTACCAAGTGTAGGTTCTGGCCCAGCTGAAGTGTTGTTCTCACGGTTGTTGCCTTTGCCATTTCGATGGTTTTACCTCAGGTGAACCAGGACTTCACCCTCCTCTTTGGGCTGGAGACCTCCTGCAAGTTGCTGGAGAGTTGGACCCACGTTTTCAAGGCCAAAGTCATCAAGGAAGCCAAGTGTCTCACGCAGTCGGCCGACCTGTCCGTCCTGCTGAGGAGCGCGGAGCACGAGTCGGACGGCCACTGGGACCCAGCTGAAGACCAGGGTCAGTGACGGGACTGACCCATTCTCTGGAGGGGTGGGGGGACACCACACCTGTCATGTACTTATGCTGGCACTGTTCCATAGGGTGGGACAGTGACTTGGCCTCCATGCTGCTGCTGGTTCACCTTTTGCCCCCACCCCCAGGAAGGAGGAAATCAGCCAAAATCAGCGCGCGTGAAGCCGTCGACCGCATGGTCCAGTTTCAAGAGGTATAGCTGTGTGAGATGCCCCCTTCTGTACGGAAAAACAGTGGGCTCTCCAGTAGGCTGCCACAAGAGTGTTATTAGTGTTTACCTTCTCAAGGGAGGGAATTAACAGTAATTTATGTGTTTCCTTGTTGTTGATGGGAATCTTCCTCCCAGCTGAACTCCAGACCAGAGCCGAGTCCCCGTGTGCCAGGAGGCCAGCGGCAGCCCTTCCTGGTGGCCGTGGGCCGCAGGAAGGACCAGATCCAGAGCTTCTTCATCTCCCTGGATGGGCGCCTGCTGCCCTGTCAGGCCGGCAGCTCGCTGGGGGCCTTCGACGAGCTCTTCAAAGCACACTTCGTGTTCGGCCTGACCTATGACGAGGCACTCAGCAGTGTGTACACCTTTCTGCAGACCACCATTTACCACATCGACGTGGGCAGCGTGAAGGAAAGCCCCCGAGTTAAGGAGCTGAGGGCCAGGCTGCTCAATAACTGCTGACCCACCCCTTGGTGGCTGTCCACTTGCTGACCTCCCCAGGACCCCCCTGATCCCAGGCGCCAGAAAAGACGGAGCAGCTTTGACAGGAATAAGCAGAATCATTTCTGTTACTGTCTTATGGATTCTGGCTTCATCCTCTGACCACTGGGGGGCGCAATAGCGACCTGTTGAAGGGGACAGGCCCCATCTCTCAGGTGCTGCTCCTCAGGTCCCTCCCATCAGACTGCGACCCCAGATGCTCCGCATGGGAAGTAAATGCAAGAGGCTTCACTTCCGTGAGCATGGATTGGTCTGCGGGGTCCACATATGAATCAGCCATTATATGTGCTGCAAAGAGAAGAAGCAGAGATTCCAGGCTGGGTCCAGACCACGTAGCAGAGCGAAGGTCACGTTCCATTTTGGCTGGTTTATAGTTCACGACTGAAACGACGGCATCTCACACCATCCTTGGCTTAATCACATTTTGTTAATAAGTATTCAGCTGTGACCGGGTCCATCGCCCTTATGGTCAAGCCCATAACATTAATTTTATGCATTTTTAATTTTTAAGCATTTTAAGTCATATTAAAGTTTATTGTCATACTGGTGAAAAGTAACATAATCATCCACCCATCCATGCACTCATCCCCCTTACAACCAGTGTGGGACAAGAGTAACCTAGGAAACTTTCATTCATTAATTAAAGTAACTTCCAAGCTAGTTAAAAGTGATTAAATCCGCAAGTTAATAAGGTTAGAATTTGCAAGTTTAACACAAGTTTAATTAACAATTTCAGGGGTGAAAAATGCACAAACCTAATTTATTTTTTGAGCATTTTTGCATAAAATTAGACCAGCCAGCTGCAGAATTTGCATAATTTTGCTAGAATTTGTAATTCTGGCGTGTTGGGAGGAAAACAAATTCACAAACCGCAAATAGATCCTTACAATCTAACGTAGAAAGTATTAACCGTTTTTATACTTGATTTTTGTACTTTGTGCTTATTACCACAACACAGTATTTTTTGAGCAGAAGTTGTGTTTGAAATCCTTTTATATACTCAATGCATCGATTTAATTTATGGAATTTAGCTTTAATTTAAAAATTTAAATTTTTATGGGATTAAGCCGCAACTGTAGTTGGACAGCAAACTATAAGGCAGCCTTGCGACTTTAATGTCGGAAACGACGAAGGGGGGGGGGGCAGCGGAAAGTGGAAACTATTCAGCAAGTTTCTTAGAGAAGTTCAGAGGTTATTCTGAGCAGAACCTTCCATTGTGACCAGTTTTTTTTTTTTTTTTTTTTCGCTGCTCAAAAATATTTAACCAAGTTCCATTGTGGTGTATGTCATGTTCTCCTGACACAAGTAAACAAACTGGTGTGACATTTTTTGATTGAAAGTGATGTTAACAGGTAGATGTTCAGTGCTTTCTTTACAGTTTGTGTGCAAGTTTGTGGCACACAGCCATTGAGTGTTTCCAGAATTAGATTAACTTCTTTAAATTTGGCGTACTGGAAAAGCTGGGCAGGGTGTAAGGCACTTTGGGAGGAAGCGGCCCTCACATGCCTGTCACGGTGCTTGGGGCGTAAAGGCAGGAGACCAGCGGGGTTTATATTGCATGACCGTCCCCTGTGTGTCACAGCGGCGTGTCCCGTGCGTGTCCTGTGGATGCTTTCGCTTTGCCCCTGAGTGAGCCCGCGTCTGGGTGCAGGTCGGCGGTTCAGTGCGGGCTGTTTGCTGCACCCCGATCTGCGCCTCACATTTCCATCTCGTTCCAGTGCCTCTGAGAAGTTGGGGCCCATTAATGACATTTTAATGTTTAGACATTTTACATTTTCAGATTAGCCGTAAGTTTGTACGCTGGTTAGTTACTGGCCCCTGTGTGGTAATTATAAGCATCATTTGAATTAGATGGGTGATGGTTGGATGTTACGCCAAGCAGTAACATTGACGTGCCAGATAATCTGGTTTTGTGTAGTGTATCATTACATAAAATGTTCATTAAATTCTTTTTTATAACAATGCCCATATTGCCTCGGAGTACATGCGTCACATGACGTCTCCAGGACCACGAAGGCACGTCAGTGCCACAGAAACACTTCCTCCGCTGACTGAGAAGATCACGCCTCCCCCTCCAGCTCTCACCGCTTTCTACAACAGAACCATAGAGGGCATTCTAACCAGCATGCCTTACATCTGGAGCATTCAGTTCACCACCATCAAGCTCTGCAAAAGGTTTCCTCCTATCAGATATACCCCATAAACGCTTATAAATGCACATTCACAAATTTAGATTCTGCCCTATTTAAGGGGATTTGTCATCTTCTAGAGAACCGTACCACCAGGATTGCACCATACCATCTCTGTCAGATGGTCTGGTGGAGCTCCTGAATCATACTGTAACAACGATGCTTTCTGTGTTTGTGGATGCCAACCAAGGGAACCTCAGGTGATGATGGTTTACCAGAATGGCATCCCAGTGCCAAGTATACTCCTAACCATCTGCTACTGTGTAAAGAAATGACCAGTGATCTCAAGCTTCATACTGAACGCAATAATCCTTTTGAATCCGTGGAAGGCTAAGTGGAAAAAACTGGAATGTCGTTTAAGACTCATTACGCGGCATTTCTTAGGTGCCAGGAAAGGGTTTCACGGGAACGCAAACATTGCTATGACCTTAACCTTGAATCCTCCTGCATTTAAAAGAGATGCAGTTAGCTGGATCGGTGCCTATAAATCCCCCATAATGTCTGAATGTCCCCACAATGTGAGAAGAGACTGTTGTTTTATTGTTGTGGGGACCATTTTAGGATAGATCTCGCCCCTGTGATCCATCTCTGGACATTATCCAAACAACCATCTTTATTGTTAACAAAAATAAGGTGAACAGGAAGTGGTTCAACTAACACTTACATAGAATGTGTAATGAATCCAAGAGGAGTATATTTGGGTTGCAGGTAACATATCCATGTTCCACATGCAGAGTCATGTTGAGCTTGCAGCACATGAAGGACCTTGGTCAGGACGCCAGTCTGTTACAGGACACACACTGATCCACTTAAATCACATGTTTTTGACTGTGGTACTAAGTAATGCACAGAGGAATCCCACACAAAAACAGGGAGAACATTCAAACCACATTATACACAGTATGGGAAACAGTCAGACAACTCTGCAGTTGGGATGCCATAACTCTGTCACCACACCACCACTGGATTGTCGTTCTACACAAAAGTTATAATATTAGACTGATAATTGGAATAACAGATCAACTTATCTCTGACACAAGAAGATTCCATTTGCCCATGTAGTCACTGTTCCAGAGATGCATTCTGGGAAGAGTTATCCGATACCTATTATAGTATTAGAAAATCAAGCCAGCATCACTCAGCTTCTGCTGAAAAGGGATGATAAAGTCTGATGTAACCATGCAGATCACTGAGATGTGATTTGCGGGTCTGGATATTTGTCATCGAACACGCGAAAAATTTCAGATAACGAAAACAAATGGTAAAAGCTGACCACTATTTCACAATGTGCCTTTGGTTTTTAGGCTTTTTCAGTAAAACACTGCTTTAGACAAGTTTTTTAGTGTTACACCACCATAATGTGCTAGCAGATACGTGCATTGTGGTGCCTTCACATGTATCATAGCAAACTGCGGATTTTAGGACCTATGATGTAAGGCGGTGACTCTCCCCTAACCTCAAGGAGGCATGTGACTTGCAGCTCCGTCTGCAGTCATGCGCTGCTTCCCGGCTCCTTATGTCTGCTTCGGTGAGACGCGCCTGTAATTAAAGCTCTGTCCGAAAGTGCGCACGGGCTCAGCCGAAGCCGCAAACATGGACTGCGGGATAATGACCTCCAAACTGATCCTTTTGCTCCTCAGCTTGGTGTTCTGGGTGAGAATCTCTCTGGTTTTCTTACTTTCACTTCCCATCTTCTTGTAAGTTTTAAGTTTACTCCTGTGGAGGCGGCGCGTTGGGTGTGTTTGTAACCCCAAAAATGTCACCGAGAATGGGATTTTCCTATAAAAAAAAAGTGGGTGATGGGGGACGCTGTTAAATAGGGCTTAGGCTATATCTTGGATGACAGTGTCATGTAATCTTGCTTAACTTTGATTTTTATATTTTGGGAAAAGTATGCATGTTAAATCGCAGTTAATCCGTAACTGGCTCTAGACAGAAATTAAGGGCCAGAAGTTGATGCGGAGTTTACTAACACTTGCCCAAAAGGACGTCTAACGTTAAAAAACGTAGCAGAACCGGAATTGTTTTGAAACACTCATCTTTATTGGGATCTCCTACGATTTTCCTCCATTTTTTTTTATCGCAAATAGGTTGCAAACTGGTTTGTCTTGTTCAGGCCATATTGTCAGATCGTACAGTAGCTTGAATAATTTTAGGAATCTTGTGTTTGTCAATAATATTAATACGAATGAACAAAAATGTCCAAGGTTTTCTACCCCCAGCCAAGTATAAAATAAAGACCTCTATTTCCCTTTTCTTTATTTAATAGCTTTGATGGCTGGCTTACTACTTGCTACTTATCACCGTGTACTTTTCGTTTTCTCCTTGATCTGTTGGTTAAAAAAACCTATATGCTTTGGGGCAGTATGGCGCAATCAATGTTTGTAATCTAAGGAACTAAAACGCCGACGATATATTGCTATCATAACTATTAAAGTTATAAAGTTGTTTATCGGTTGTGGTACATTATTAGGTTAGTAACCAGTTTATTTCCTTATTTAAAGTTAAACTATGGTATTGTTTATGCCCGTTGTCAGGGGGACGCTCTGTTTAGTTCCTTTTTTCAGGCTTATTTTTCCGTTTGGTCAGTGGTTTTGATGCGTTTACATAATATCAGATGTGCTACAATGAACTGAGGGCACTGAGAGACAGAACAGACTTCTTTATAAAGTAGGATTTTATTTATCTAATGTCAGGGCTGCCAGCTCCATTATAAACTTAAAATTGACTACATAAAAAACGCTGGGTTAAGAATCTCACTCCAGCCAGCTGACCGAAGTTGGTAACTGTAAAGTCCATCCCTGACCCGTTATGTATCCGAATGGGCCAGTCTATGGCAGAACGGGTGACAGGGAATTGCGGCATGATCATTTCTCATGATCTGCTGATGATGTCTGGCACGGGCTGCCTTTGGTCTATCTAATGCCAGTTTTTAAAATGGACTGGTTTTGTTGGCTGCAATCATAAAATCCACTGATACTTTAACCAGATGTGAATGAATGGGAAAATCCTCTAATGATGATGGATTAAAACCTACACTTACAGTCTGGCAAGCTGGATAAACTGTAGCTCATGTAGGAACTGGAGGAACACATAGATGACAGAAGGGTTGCTTTTCTGACTGTATACAAAAGACAAGCCTGGTTACAAGTCGTCATACATAAAAAATGATGCAATCGTATGTATGTGTTAGAGGTTGTACTTCTCTAAAATATTGGCGTGTATAAATTAGAGGTTTTGTACATTAGGACAAGAGCTTAGGAATTTTTTTCTTAATATCTTACAGTTTTAGCTTGTTGTTTTACCCTCCATGACAGTTGAGGTCCTGGTAGATTTTAAATAATTGATCAATTTATTGATCACTGTGAGGGAATTCTCTTTATGCCTTCCCCAACTTGCTCTCTGTAGGTGAGAGTAACTGGCTGCGAAGGGCAGCCACCCACAGCAGCACCCAGGGAGCTGGGGGTTAAGGGCCTCGCTGAAGGACCCGCAGATGTGCCAAAGCCAGGCTTGAACTGATGACCTTCTGATCACAGACACAGAGGCTTAGCCCACTGTTTATTGTCTGAGGTTCAGTCACAGGAGTCCCCGGTACCATGACCTGTGGTCCAGTTTGTCAGGCCAGTGAGTATTATGGGTATTGTACGATAACCAGCTTCTCCTGGTGAAGATCAGCTGATCAATGCCATGTGCTACATTCTGGGGATAAAGGTATTATGGTGGATGCAGGACTGTGTTCTTTTCTACTGGAATGTGGAACAGAACCTTAACTGTCATTTATGTTCAGTATAATCATGAGGTTCAGTATAATCTCTAATCCCAAGGCAGTCAGACCCTTTGTGTGTGTCTGCAAAACGGCTAAACGATGACGTAGCCGTGTATTCCTAACCCTAATCCGGTTTGCCCCCCCTACAGGCTGCCGGAGCTGCTCTGACTTATGTGGGCGTCTCCGTCATAAAGAGCTACAATAACTATGAGCACTTCTTTGAGGACCAGTACACCTTCATCCCTGCTGCTATCATCGTTGCAATCGCGGTGCTGATGTTCATCGTCGGTTTCGTGGGTTGCTTCGCTACTCTGACAGAATCCTGTTTCGGGCTGGGATTTGTAAGTATCCCGGGATGGAATTAAGGAACGATCGGCCGGTCCTTCATGGGTTAATTCTCCAACCATAGCTCCTCTCTCCCTCAATGCAGTTCCTACTTGTTCTCCTGGTCTTCTTTGCTGGGGAGATCACTGCTTTAGTGTTTGGATTCATCTACAGGGGAAAGGTAAGTGAGTGTCTGCTGTACAGTGATCTCTATTGGGTGTGTGAGGGAAAACACCCCATATTTATCGTTAACATGAGTAACACTGTGAAACCGAGGTTAAATGACTGACTGCTCTCTGTGGAACATTTGCTTTAGACGATTCTGTTATAGAAGCTCATGATCTTCAAATCCAAACAATGTACAGTTCTGTAAATATAACCTGGCCTCTGGGGCATTGTGCCACATCCTACAGATAAAGGATGACCTGGAGCACACAATGACCGGGGTGTTCCAGAAGTACGATGGCCAGAACTCAGAGACGCGGGCAGTAGACTACCTGCAGACTCAGGTGAGAGCGATTTTGTTGGCTACGACTTTATGTGTGTTAGGCTAATTGTTGTTGTGTATCACACATGTGATTCCTGTTGCAGTGGAGAGGAAATATGGCATAATCTCATTTTGTATTCAGCTGCTCTTGGTGATAGTAGACATACAGAAGACAATTGATCTTGTGAACACAATAACTCTAAAATTATTTTTTCAAACATCCCAGGATCATTATAGTGTTGATCTGGAAAATGTTTAATTTTGAGACAAATTGCACCAAAATTGAAGCAATGCTGCTTAGTGGTGGCAAAAGGAAGGACAACTTCGGATTTAAAAAAGTTGTTGATAATTTCACAAAAACATCTATGCCTGTTTTCATTTTGAGACAAATTGCTTGAGGACTGAAGTAGTTTCACATAGTGGTGACACCATAAAGGGACAGATCTGGTGAATTAGATTACATTGGGAAACATCACACAGTTGGGCTTTTAATAACAATTTTTTGGAGAGGTGGGAGAGTGCGTAGGGGGGCTACAGATTGTTGAAGTTGGGGGGATGTGGGTGTAATGGGAATTAGATGGGGGCAGGGGGGGGGCAGGGCTGTCCGGGGAATGTTTTGTTGCTGATCCGATAGCATATGGTTTCTTTGAGGTGTTTCTTAAAGGACTTGCAGCTTGTATACATGACTTGTTTTGTGCTGGTTGGAAAATAAAATAGGGAACTCAGTCAGTAACTCTCCATCTTCCCTCTTCTTTTCCCCACCACACAGCTTCATTGCTGTGGAGCGAAAAACTACACTGACTGGAGAAACACGACCTGGTTCTCCACCAACCACACAGTGCCCCTGTCCTGCTGTGCGACCCACAACTCTGGCTGCACAGGTCGGCTGGACCAGCCAACACTGCTCAACACACTGGTCAGTGCCCAATAGCGCCACCCAGAGCTTGTGTGTCACCACCTTGCTTTTCACAATATTTTTAGTTTTGTGTCTGATTAATTCCTGTTTACAAGGCACTATTGAAATATTAACACAACTATAAGCTTGTAAAGAAGAAAGGCAAAGAGAAGAACTTCTCTGTAGGACCTTCTGTCTGTGGGAAGTAGTGATTAGTAGAAATTTGACTCCAGTAGAGTTTATTAGGCTGCATATGTCCAAAACAAGGTGGCTGTGATGGTTGAGTTCTGGCGTAATACAATTTTAATATTTTTGGAAATTCTAGTAGTGAAAAAGTCTTAAGTATCCAAGGCTTATCTCTGGAGGTAAAAATCGCCAGCTGTACTGAAATGCCTCCCATTCAGCGCATTGATGCTGTTCAGAGACGAGCTTCGGCCTAAACTGTCTCCCCCTCCCAGGGATGTGAGTTCAAGCTGGTACAGCTGCTGCAAGATGCAATCAGCTATGTGATGCTAGTCGTCGTGGGCTTTGCCAACTTTAAGGTATGTCTTGCCTTTCCCTCCCCTTGCTTGGACAACATTAAAGGGAACACATGCCAACACTATTGTAGGCTTGGGGTGAGGGGTGAAAATTAATTAATAGCCTTATTGTAAGGTGATTCTGGAAAATGTCTAGATCTGTCTTTATTAGGCTGCATCTCCTAGGACAGGTGTTGGCAGCCCAAATGAGAAAAAACACTTTCAGAACAACAATAAATAAATAAAACTAAAAACCACTGTGATCAAGCAGGCATGTTGTCTTAGGCAGCCACAAGTACTATACCGTACTTACTGAATTTAATTGAAAGCATACTTCTAGACCGTCAGTGTAGTAGGTACTATGTGTGCAAGATAGTCTGCTTTGGAGCCACAAGCTAACAGCCAAAGAACCGCATGCAGCTTGAGAGCCACAGGCTGCCAGCTTCTGTCCTCGGGTTGCAGTTGATGAAACGGTGATGGTACCTGGGGCTTTAACGATCATGGTCAGGCAGTCTTGTGCCCAGTTGTAGAACCTTGGAACTGAACAGGAAGCACTAGAGCAGAGCTCCGCCCCTTCCTCCACCCATGAGGTATCTATAGCAACGCCCTGCTGACTGCATCTGTTTCTTTGCAGCTATTCGGAGTGGTCAGCGTGTGTGTGATCACTTGTAGGGATCGCCAGAGACACTACCTGCCACTATAGACCAGAAACTATGGACTCTGTCTTCTGGATCGCAGGGTGTCTGTATTCTGGTTTTATGTCTGACTGCGCAGAATCTTGTTTTCCTGGCACCCGCCCACCAGCAAGCTGTAATCATGAAACTAGAACTAAAGTAATGACAAGTGTATATTTTTATTACCATAATACTTAAGCATAACAAGCTATGGAGAAGGAGTGTGTTTTGTAAGTGTCTATGCTCTGGTAGCTTCAACTGCGCGTTTATTTTTTGGTGTGAGAATGTTAGGTCTAAACTTGCTGTATGAAATGAGAAAAACCTGCACCTTTCCATTTGCTTTCCATGTAGTTGTTCCATAATTAAATACAATTAAATACCATGAACATTTTTAATCTGTATGCAATAAAATGTAATTATTGGTAGTTTTTCAAAATACTGAAATGGTTCAGTGTGTTGTCTTTATAAATATAATAGTCTCATCTGTTAAATAAATGGCTCTTTGAATAATTGATTTCTAACAAAGTTCACATCACAGTGGATATTCCCATGTAGGTCACCCACATCATCACTCTCAGGCTTCTGATCAGGGCTGCTGAGAGGCTAACGCTAATGCTAACCTGCGGTGAGCTTCCGGCAGTGCCACATCTCAACCGCGAGGTGCTCCAGGTCATCCGTTACCTGTAGAATGTGCCACAGTAGTGCTTCTGTTGGTACCAGACAAGATAGCCTTTGTTCACATCCTGCATCAATGAGTTCTGCCCGCCCAACACTGTCAGCATTTCATGGTTTTTCCCCTCCTCATACCAGTCTCTGTACTCGCCATCGCTGACGGTAAGCATACCCAATTGTCTGGCCATAATGATTTGGCCTTTGTATTAGTTACTCAGATCTTAATCCCTGCCCATTTCTTCTGCATTAAACAAGTCAACTACAAATACCGAATGTTACTCTCTAATATATCCCAAACCTTGACATGCACTGTTTTTATGAAACAACATTATTCGCTTCACATGGGGTGGTGATAATGTTTTGCCTCATTGGTTTCTACACCCGTAATGGCAGAACTAAATTTTAACAACTAGGTGAGGGAATATTAAATACAATCTATCCATCTTACAGCCCCTACTTTGGGTTACAGAAGGAAACCCACATAACAGGAAGCGATAAACGGAGACTCCACCCACAGCCAGAGTAGGACTGGTAACAATTTACCTGATGGGGCACAAATACTTAGTAGTAACTCACTACTAAAGTACAGATAATGAACAAATATAGTACCTACTTGAGATAAAAGATGCATCACAATTCATTAATGATGAACAAACATGAGATCAGTATTTCACTTGTTATTCATTACTTGATCCTTCAGTAGTTCACAATGGTTTGCAGAGTAAACATATAGTAACAAATATAGGAACTGCTTCAGATAAAAGATTTTATGATTCATTAGTAATGAACAAACGTGAGTTTAACTAATACATAAGTAAGAGGGTAGTACTATATTGTTTGTGTCCCCCAAGCAAAGTGTTTCCGTTGGATCTGAGCCCTTGATTCTAGAGGTGTTGGTGATGAATGCTCGCTACTGAACCAGCATTCCATCTAATGTCAGCCACCTTTCATTTAGGCCTCTTGGTGTTTAGCCATGGACATGTACGTAAATGCATTATTTTAGGTTACGGCTCGATGCTCCTGCATCTTCACTGTAGTTTGTGGAAGAGCTACAGAGCACCGTTCTCTGTGTGACAGCAGCAGGTCAGTCCCGGGCCTCTGCGCTGTGGAGCCGCTGCTGTTGACACCCCCTCAACATGTCCTCTGTCGCAACTAGGACCTGCCAAGCCACCACCCCCCCTCCCCGTCACCAATCCACTCATCAAATGTTTACAGAGACACAGTATATGTATGTGTGTAGTACTCAGTCTTTCACCAGTGTCTACACAACTAGCAAGGCAGGAAGGGACCAGCAGGTTGCAGGGCAGGCAAGGATTTCAACCTAAATCCCTAGAGAAACCAGCTGTTGGACCGTCAAATGTAAGATTCTGCCAGACACACCCAGTTCATTAAAAACAGAAAATGCATGTTCTTTGATTGTAAACTGAAGGCACCATGACCCAGGTTCATCTGAAGAGGGATGATAATATCTGATGTAAGTATGCTGATCCCCACACATATTTCAGCAGCAGATACTGAAAATGCATATGGGCTGACTGAGGTGCAACTGAGGTGTCAACATACTGATCATTTAAAAGTAGAAAAATCTCACAGGAATGGTAAAAGTAGATCACTGTATCACAGTGTGGCTATGGTTTAGTAGGCTACTTCAGTCAAACACGTAATTAGACAGTTTTTTTTTGTGTTACACAGCGGTGGGTACAGCTAACCGAAAAGCTTCGATAACGCTAAACTGATAAACCACTGGAAAAAAATGTGGAAGATAACGATAACTTTTACTACACGAATTTAGCTTCGGTTTGGTTTTTGCTTCTGAAACCCTTAAAGAGGCAGTTCATCCCATAACTAAAAAAGATATGCTTTAAAGGGCTTATGTGGTATCTGTCCATTTAGGTTTTTCTGATGGGAGATACCTATAATTTTGGAGATATCGACCTTAGAAATGTCAACCTTCTCTCAGATATTCACATGAGTGAATGTCATTCTTTCTGTGGTGATTATAGCGCCAAAAAATACATTTGAAAAATTCAACAGCAATGTCTCTTACCAGAAATTATGACCCGGTTACTCAAGATAATTCACAGACTTTGTAGTGAGCAGTTTAGTGTACGAACTATTTTCTTCTGGGGAACTCCACTCACCAAGCGCATCACTGCGCAGAAGATTTCGCCGGGGTGCTCCTATATTCTGCGCAGTGATACGGGTTTCTCCGCCCAAAGCGCGTAAATCGTAAGTACATGTAAATCGTTGGGTGAGTACGCTTAAGTCAAATAAAGCAGCTGCGTGCTTTTTAATTATTATTTAATTTTAATTTAATTATTATTATTCCCCACCAACTGGTGCTAACCTGTCTTAATGTCCATGTCTTAAGATGTCGTTTATATAATTTTCTATATGTCTAAATATTTATGTTCTATTTATTTCTCTTTTGCACTATCGCCAACATTTTCCGTGATATAACAGTCAGACATAACACTAATGGTATGCACGGCTTAATTTGTAAACTCTTGAGTTGCCGGTGTTCGGACGAGTTGAGCTGAGCGTGCTGGGACAAATAGCATATGGCCCCAACTCAGGACTAGGAGTCTAATAAAAAATTGATTTAGAATGGAAATCCATTTCCATCCAATTACTGTACCCACTTGGCCTAGGCGGGGTTGTGGGGATCCAGAGCCTATCCTGGAAGCTATAATCGCAAGGCAGGGAATAACCCAAGATGGGTCACCAACCCATCGCAGACACACTCACTATTCACATACACAGTCACGAATATGGACAATTTGGTAACTCCAATTCACCTTAGCATGGTTTCAGACTGGAGGACGGACTAGAGATCCTGGAGGTAACGGCATGGTGACATAGGAGGAACACGCAAACTCCATGCACATGGACCCAGGGTGCAGTTCAAGCCCTGGTCCCAGAGGTATAAGACAACATTCAAAATATACTGTTTCTGCAATTTTTACATTAAAATCTTACGATCAGCTTCAGGTGCATAGAGTCTCAGGTAGTTTTTGCATTGCAAAAAATGCAGTTACTTGTTTTGTTTTGCACTTCAAAATTAGAACACTTTAGTATATGGTATATTCTAAGTCTAAATCGATTCCAATCAGAGATTAATCGTTTATATTGAATCATTACATGTTTAATTGCATTTTCCTTTCTATCATATTGTAGACTGGGGTGAGTATGTTAATGAATGTATTGTGCCCTCTAAGAGGTAGAGATACACACCCCTATTCAGAACCTCAAGCTCTCACTTTGTTGTAGTGATTTTAATGACCAGAAGGGGTCAGCCTTGTCTAAATGGATCCAGCTCACTGGAGGAGTTACAGGGCTTAGTTGGTACCTCTGTAACACTTAGGGAGATGTCTGCTATTGTATATACACCTGTAATGGCAAACGTAATTTTTTTCCACTGGATGAAGGAATATAAAATACATTCCATCCATCTTACAGCCCCTACTTCAGCTCAGGGTCACTCAGAGCCTATCCCAGAACACAACACAGCGGAACACCTTGAACTGGAGGCCAGTCCCACAATATGGGCACTTTGGAGCTGCCTGCTCACCTTAGCTTTGGGTTACAGAAGGAAACCCACATAACAGGAAGCGATAAACGGAGACTCCACCCACGGCCAGAGTAGGATCTGAGCCCTCGATTCTAGAGGTGTTGGTGATGAATGCTCGCTACTGAACCAGCATTCCACCTAATGCCAGCCACCTTTCATTTAGGCCTCTTGGTGTTTAGCCATGGACATGTATGTAAATGCATTATTTTAGGTTACGGCTCGATGCTCCTGCATCGTCACTGTAGTCTGTGGAAGAGCTACAGAGCACCGTTCTCTGGTGTGACAGCAGCAGGTCAGTCCTGGGGGGGCACTCTGCTGTGGAGCAGCTGCTGTTGACACCCGCTCAACATGTCCTCTGTCACAACTAAAACCAGCCACCCCCCCCCTCCCCCCGTCACCAACAATGCGTGTTTGTGTGTGTGTATGTGTGTGTGTGTGTGTGTGTGTGTGGTGGAAGGGAACAGCAGGTTGAAGTGCAGGCAAAGATTTCAACTTAAATACCAGAAGGAGCCAGCTGTTGGACCCTTGACCCTAAGACCCTGTCAAACATACCCAGTATGTTATTTTAAGTTCAAGCTAAGATATATATATTTTTGGGTGGGGGGGTATAAAGCCATATAACTATATTAGTAAGGAGTTTGTCAAAGTGGTCTATCGAGGTGCCAGGAAGTTTGCAAGAAATGTGGAAGAGAGAGAGGAGAAACGTGGTCTGCAAGCGTTGCCAATGACATGTGCCCCCCCCCTTTCTGGGAGTGTTTTTTGTGTTCAGGTTTCTGCAAAGTCGAGCGGGATGAGTATGTTAAAGAGCAGGGGGTCTTGCCAGAGGAGTCTTTGCTGGAGTGGGGGAGCTGCTGAGTGTCCCTGCCGCTCGCCGTCTGTGCGGGAGGAGGCCCTAATGGGTGCAGATCTGAGTCACAGGGACGCGGCACCGGCGTCATGGCTCATTGTTTACTCTGGCCTCTGCTGAGGTCTTCCAGCAGCAGGGGGGTAACTAAGCCCTGAGAGTTATTGAACCCTTGAATAAGATACTTCACCCGAATTTCTTCATATCCATCTGTGAGAAAGGTGTGAAAATTGTAAGCTGACCTGGAAGAAGCAGGAAATAAGCATTTACGCATATTAATATTTAACTTGATGATTAAGTTAACAGCTATTGTTACTTTAACCGAGATGTATATTCCACATATGTGTTGTGGCGAAAAGGTTTGGGATCTATTGAAATAACCTGTATGTTTTAATAATTTATTGACTCCATTTATGAATGCTGCCTCATCGCTGAGATGATAATGGCCGGTGTCAACCAGGGTTATTATCGATAACAAAAACTATAACTATGAGATAACATTTTCATAAACCGAAATACGAAACTATAAATATTGCTTAAAATAAATGAAAACCATCAAATGCTTTCCGTTACCATTTTTCTAATACTATGTACCTAAGGTAATGATGTGTTCATCTGTACCATTAGTAGCAGCTGGAACATATTTTCTGTACCATTAGTAGCAGCTGGAACATATTTTGGCAGTTTTTTTGTTTGAAGACTTCAGTACATTCATGTAGAATCCTCTAACGCTCCCACACATAAAACAGCTCTACATCCTTGTCAGTCCCCAGAAATAAAGTGACTAAAACTTGAGCTGAAACTAAAATGTATAAAAACTAAATAGAAAAATACATTCAATGTAAAAACTAAAAAAAAAACGGCACTGAAAACTAAGTAAACCTAAAGAGGATTTCAAATGAAAATTGAAAATAACTTAAACAAAAAGCTAAATTAGGAAATCAAAATGATAACTTTAGTGTTGACCCATGTTCATGCTCTACAGTGACAGCAGGATGAAGGATGAGTTAAACCCAAACCCAGTGCATTTTCTTGAGTCTTATTTCATGGCCTGTGAGTGAATCTCATGTTCACCTGACCCAAAACATCACAGGGCATCTTGAAGCCTCATGTTGTAAAGATGTACCTACATCCTCTGCCTTCCTGAGAATCAGGATTAAATTTCAGCCTCTGGTGACCAACCCCCACGAGGCGTGCAGCCCTCCCCCCATGAGGCGTGCGGCCCTCCCGCCACGAGGCGTGCGGCCCTCCCCCATGAGTTTTGATAGCGGCTGGCACAGTGAATGGACCGTGTGGACCGTGACACCAGACAGACGGACGCATCCCCGGCGATGGCACGTGGAAAGCGGCTGCTCTGTTTTGACGATCGCGCCGGCGCTTTGACGTGACGCCAGTCAGCGCAGCGTGAAAACCTCACGGCTTTTGGCTCTCTCGTCTTCCTGTCCTTCCACTCCTGGCGGCAGCATCGCAGGTCTGGAGTCACTGTTTATCAGTCTGCGTGTCAGGTTGCAGGGGAAGGACAAGACAGACCTTTAATTTGGTCGGAAGTGGGCGCTTTGCCCCCAGGCTGCCCCAGCCAGAGCCGTAGGCCCAGGTCATCCTGACCGATGGCCAGCATCAATAACACCAGTTCAAGTTTCAAGTTTAATTTGGCACATACACAAACCAACACAATACATTTGTGCAGGGGAATGCTTTCAAAAATTGAAGCTGCATTACGGGGTGAGAAAAACAGGAGCAGGAATGCGCCTCCTTACTCTACACAAAGGGACAATCTCATTCTTTTTGGTATTTGTATATACATACATACATACACACACATATATATATAATAATAAGGTGTGTGTGTGTGTGTGTGTGTGTGTTTGTCCAAAGCAGGGGTACTTCCAGACCCCATTCCCTCTCGACTCAGTGAAGTCTCCCCTGGACTTGGCTTTGTGAGGCTGACGAAATTCGAACCTCGGGGGGAAAAATAATTGCATATGCCCAGTCTCGGATGATGGATGGCTCCGCCTGTTTGGCTACTGTGCCTCTAATCAGCAGGATGTTGGTTCAAATCCCAGTGATTTTAACATGAGGCCCTTAAGCCTCCAATCGCTCCTACTCTGCTTTCTTAAAAAACATATGTCGCTTTGGATAGAAGCGTCTGCTATAAATAAAGTGTAAATGTGATCTTCTCATAGATCAGGCTTTGCAGTCTGACCTAAACCCCACCTGTCTCTTTTCACTTGTCTTTCAGAGGATGATGCTTCATTAAGAAGCCTCTAGCACTTCTGGTCTGACTTTTCCCCCATTAATAAGCAGAAGTGGCCCGATGTGGCCGAGCTGTCTGGCCTCCCCCAGGCAGCGCTCTGTTATTCACACACCCTCTGATCCAGCTGTCCGCAAAGTGGCTCCGCTGTGATCGTGTTCGGCTTCTTCTCGGGCCGCCGGCGGTGCAGCCCCGGCTGAGTCCTCCTGGCGGGGAGCTGCCGCGTGTTACATCCATCCCGCCCTGTGATCTGTTTCAGGTTCCTCTTCGTGAGTTCTGGGTTCATCAGCTTTCGCGTTTAGTTCCGACGAAGCACAAACACAGTAGCATTTTTTCCAGCTTTGTCTTCAGTCCTAGAAAGACAGGACACCATATCCTAGAGTCAGTATGATAGACAGGACATCAGAGTTTTCCATATTCATCTGGTAGATTTTCTCAGATTTCTATTTAACTCAAGAATGAAAAAACTTATCTTGATCACTCTAAATTTGACTTGGTCATTTGGAGATTGTAGTTTTTTAAAAATAATTTTGTATCCATGGTATCCCATACTCCCCAGCACCAGAATTCAGCCTTTACATAAGTTTGTATTTCTAGCTGTATGTTATACTCCTTTCTGTCCACCAGGGCGGCACTGTAGTTCTTTTCTCTGTGCTCTCCCTCCAAAGATTCTATTTCCTAAATCCTTGTTGCTCAGGCTTGGCCTGTGATATGTGATCCCTCCTGATACTTCCTTGTGTATTGTTTGCATGTGTATTGTTTGTGTGCGTATTGTATGCGTGTGTATTGTTTGTGAGTATGACGCACACCTATTCTCCCATCTCCATGGCCACTTCACGCTGGTGCCCCTGGAGCGGCAGCAGGTTTCCTGTCTGTGTGGGCCGGAACCTGCTCTGCCATCTGTAGACCTATACGTGGTTGTATGTCTACCCAGCCTGTACATGGGGTCATCCATCCAGCAGGAAAGAGAGGTGGTAATTGGGCTCTGGGGAGAGGTAGAAGGGAAGAGAGGGTTGATGGAAAAAGGAGGACCGAAATCAATCCTGAAGTACAATAGATATCAGCGCACACAGAAAAAGCGGTCTACCAAAAATAACTCAGGTGTGTCAGATGGGGATGAAGCAGCCATCACCATACGTGTGGATTTGTGTGAGCTCAGTGTCTCTCTCGGTGCCCGAAGAGGGTGGGGGGGGGTGATTAATGAACCACAGCAAGCACACAGTCTCACTGTTTTACGCCTTTGTTCTGTCAGTGTAGATGTAGTCAGTGTCCTTACCTGTTGACGGTAGATTTGTGCAGAGTAGATAGAGAGAGAGAGTGAAGGTAAGCTGTGTGAGAGGGAGCAGTAACAGCCTGCAGGAGGATCCAATTACTGGGCCTGCCTCCTTGACCTCTAATTAGCCCCCCCCCCTTCCCCCATCCCAGTTCAATTCACTTTGAGTGGCTTTATTGGAAACCTACAGCCATTTGGGAACACTGTGTTCTGTTCCCGGAGGAGCGGAGGCGAGGTTCTCCGGTAGACACCGTTTAGCACAGGGCACCATTAATCCAGAAATGCTAGGGTTCAAGTCTGAGGTAGAGAAGGATACCTCCAAATGGATTTGGACCCCGATATTTCTTACAGAGCCCCCTAAATGCCGCATCAGCAAAAGTGTCTGTTTCAGCTCATGCCGGAACCATTTAAGCGACTGTGTTCTATCGCTGGGTGATGATCAGCTTTGTTTCCCCCTATCAGAGTGATACATTGCTAAGCATTTCGGATGCTTTGGCTCTCTCTGTCTCCTTCTCAGCCTCTCCATCCTCAATCTGCCATGAATTTGTAAGAGACGAATGGCAGAGACGCACGATGGAGGCACGTGGGCGTGTGTTTGATGGGGGAAGGCGTTTGTTCCAAGCCGACCGCAGAACCGCGGGCTAAATTCAATACTTTAGAAGCTGACTAGTTCAAGGTGGCATAATAACAAGTTTCTGCAAGGAAATTCAACAAAAACTGACAATGGCATTGCTTTCCATTCTGGTTCCTGGTGTTTACCTGCTTGGCCCATGATCTTATTTTATACTTATATGTTGATTCAGTAATAAAATTGGGAATCAAGTGATGGAAACAGATTTAAACTCCACCAAGATCCAATAACAGTTTGTTTATTTTACTGTAGTGGGATTACTCCATATAACACGTACCATTAATAACTATATTTCAATAAACGCAGTTTCTTTTTCCCGGGTTTTCCCAGTCCATGGAAACCAAGGACTGATGGAAAATGATCATTTTAATTTGGAAATGTCAATATCAAAATACGGTTATTATTTTTTTTAAGTGCAAGGCAACTAGAGTTAAAAAAAATTCGACCAGGAATACCTGTGTTAATCTGCACCTTCTGAAAATGAGTTTTAAAACACATTTTTCCATAAAACATACTCATTAATATTGCTCCTCAGTCTTGCCTGTGATTCAGCGGGTTAGGGTTAGGGTTAGGGTTAGGTCACCCACTCACGTCCCCGAGCTGGCATTGTGATGTCATGAATGGGCCCCTGTGCAAGGCTAGGGTTAGGGTTAGGGTTAGGGTTAGGTCACCCACTCTCGTCCCCGAGCTGGCATTGTGATGTCATGAATGGGCCCCTGTGCAAGGCCCTTGTTCCTTCAGGGACTGTCTGAGTCGGTTTCTTCTCAAAAAATCTGTGCCGCTTTTGATCAGAGTGTTTGCTAAATAAATAAAATGTAATGCTTAATAGCACAAATTGGGCCAGTAATGGCGGTCCAAGGTTGGCACGCCAGCTTAGTGGATAGCCTGTAGCCGTGTGTGTGTGTCTGTGTGTGTGTGAGTGTGTATGTGTGTGCGTGGTTTGTATGGCTTCCCTTTGGGTACACTGATTCCATCCTGCAGATATCGTATTTGTGATGGCTGTTGTTGCCCTTGCTGTGTACCCTGCGGTGGACTTGCATTCCATTCGTAGTATCCCCTGTCCCGTGCTTCCTGGGTAAGCTCCAAGTTTACTGTGACCCTGCATTGCATAACCATTTGGATGGATGGATAGATGGCTGGATGGATGCCTGTCCAACAGCCTGACTGCCATTTTTAGCTTGGCACCCCACTTAACACTCATGTTTACCCCCTGCTTGCAAGTTCTCCATGGCCTCAAAACTGTTCTAACTCCAAATTCATTCACACATGACCTTATGGAACTTTAAACAAATGTAATTTCATACGTCTTTTAACATTTTGATTTGTAAAACCACACAAAGCAAAATTTATTAGAAACCATTGCTTTAATCTGAGGACTCCACAGAGTCCGTAAAAGCCATCAGCCACATAGCAGTGAACTCACTCTGCTCCTTCTGTCCGTGGGTATGAGAGACAGGAGGAGCAAAATCAAGGAGAAAAACTCCTCTGTTTCCCATGAACCCTCTATGTTCTACACACCGAAAGGCAGCAAGGCTGCAGATATCTGCCTGTTGCTTGAGTCACCTTCTACTCCCCATGTTATGAAACCAGGATCTTCCTCTGCAGGAAGTCAGCCTTAATAGATAGCATGCTTGAAGAGTGCCTGATTATTATTCAAAGATTTAAAAAAAAGCCAAATGTGTTCCCTGGAAGGCAGGAGGATCTGCGAGCAGTGGGTGGACGGCCTACCGTGGTGAGTGATTGCGTCGTCCTCTGGAAGGCAGGCGGGACGGAGTCATCAGGCATGACAGCATCAGTCGACTCGATGCTAACACGAAGATAAGCAGGAAATGCAGACTAATTACCTGCCCCTGCTTTCGGGCTAAGTTGATCTCCAGCTGTGGACTAAGATAGTCTACACGCTAAAAAAAGGCCAAGATGTTGCAGTGTTTCCAGCCATATGCTGACTATTTAAAGCTACCATTTCTTACTAGAGTGTGGCCTTAATCCCCCGAGTACTCTGGGGTGCTGGATAAATGGCTGACCCTATGCTTAGACCCTAAGCTTCACTCTGAACCGTATATGTGCGAGTATGTCTCAAAAAGGAGGGCAAGATTTGATGTGCAAAAGAAGCATCCCAATGTACCTGTACTTGTGCAAATGGCACATAACAAATCATTTAATCGCTGGATTTTTTTGTCTCGTAAACTGGGGTACAGTGGCTAAGGTGTGCTATGCTCCAAATGTTACCTTGGTAGCATAACTGTGATGGCCTCATTTAGAGCTGCTATGGACTTAGTTATCTTTTTAAAGAAGCCTCAGCGGTATTTTTAAAGAAATGGTACATGCTGTCATTTAGAAACAGAGTAATGCTGCCTTCATCTACTTGCTTTATATAACATGTATTTTCCTGTTGTTTTTTGCATAATGCCCTCCACACGGCTCTGCGGCTCAGACTTTTTCAGGATAATATAAAGCAAATCAGGCAGTGGGAGATGTCAGCTCAGTTGCATGCATATGGCTAATGAATTCAGAAAGCCAGAGGGCACGGAGGAGAGGAACACAAAGACTCCTGTCAGGAGAGAAAATAAACCTCGGGTTGAAGGCCACTCTGAGGGTCTTCCTCACAGGCCTGCGCGCCACAAACAGAGGAGAAATGAGGCGAGGCCCAATGTCACCGAGCTACTCGTTGTCATGTTCTCCCAGGTATCAGGATGTAGCACCTGCTGATTGAGTTGATGGCACCAGGAAGGGGAACCAGAATCAAGGATGCTGCAATCAAAAATGTGACATGTCTACTGGGGATGGCATGTCTGCTAGACACAAACCTTCAGCCAGGACCAAAGGGCTGTCATCTCGTAACATCTTTATTGCTTATAGTACCATAGCAGGATATTTCTGGACTGGAATTGCCCAAAAGCAATGTGAGAACAAGGGTAATGGAATTGTATCTTAGATTGTAATGAAAATCCTGGTATCAGGGGAAAGGTTGCAGTTGAGTCATAATTCAAAGCAAGTGATTTGTTGTGTAAGTCCTTGTGTTGTGTTATTTAGTGTGGAGAGCAGAGCCTCAGAACATTTTGAATAATTATCACTCCCCCATTTTACTGAAGTGTGAAAATGTTAAGGTATAATGTGAATGTTCCTGTGGGGTGCTTCCAGGTCAAGCTGCCTGACGACGACATGTGAGAAGTTAATTTTGTGTTATTGTGTAAAGGTACTTGGTGTTGACATATGTGAGGTAATATTTCTGAAAGATGAGTCATCATTCTTCCGGAACTGAGAGCTCTGTATGTAAGTAAGGGGTCTAGATAGATCTCAATATGTTATTCACCACAGAAGGATGGCAGGGTGATGTCAGACCCAACCACATCCTTGGTAAGACCTTCAGAATATGCAATAGTTATATTTATATGGAAGAAAAATATGTTGTGTTGGATGAAAGTGTGAGATACGCTTCTAATACGTTTTCTGGAAGCATATCTTTAAAACATGGGTGCACAGGATTCTTCTTGTACAGATTCCTTTGGAGCTGTTCTGGGGATGTCCTCTTGGAAAGCAGTCCTGGAGCAGACCAAGAACATGGCAAAAGGATTACATCTACCACTTGGTTTGGGAGTAGGTGTCACAACTCGTGGGTTACAGAGTGGGGAAGCAGGCACAAGAGCCGAGGAGTCGGGTGAACACAGGGTTTAATTAGAAAAAACACACTCATCTACATGGAACGACGTCAATGACCAACTAACTAAAGGCACACAGACACAGATTTAAATACACCAGACTAGTTTACATAACTAGAAACAGCTGAAAACATGGGGATTCCACACGAGGCAAATGAGGGGGCGTGGCACACAGGAGGATCAAACGAGCGGGACATGACAGTAGGAATCTCCAGAACGTGTCGGAGCCTGTAGCCTCCTGGGCTTCTTGTCTTCATGGCCCTTACATATACATCCATTCTGAGGATGGAAGGATTCACCAAATCACCATTTGTTTGAACTGTTGCCATCTGGTAGAAGGTACAGGGTACTCAAAGCCCACACTACCAGATTTCAGAACAGTTTTTACTCCAGTATAGCAACCAGGGTGAACCAGACACTAAAGGACTCTCCCTAAGGACTCTCACTAAGGACTCTCACTAAGGCCTGTAACCCCCAGCACACTGCACTACCATATACTACCTATATCTGCTAATTATATTTATTGACAATTTTATATTTTGTACTTGTTAAATATTACATGTCCTGTCTTGTATTTTGTTTGCACCACACAATCTTGTTGTGCTGTCATATACGATGACAATAAAGAATCGTGTCCCAGCGCTGAACTTTGTCTTGGGGCTTCTGCTTGGAGGTGAGACATTTCTTCACACCGTGTTGATCCGTTGTGTGAAAGCACCCGCTGTCTCGCACCTGTCAGCTCGCCAAAGTGCCATCCATTTTCAAGAACCTTCCACAAGGTCGAGTGGTGCATTGGTGCCTTTTAGATGCGTATGATTCTGGAGCTCCGGTGTTTTAAAGGCAAGGTCAGCTCTGGCCAACTCACACCTACTAGCAGGAGATGGGGGTCACAGACAGAAATCTGCAAGCTACATGTACATGCCGAATGGATTTAGCAGGCCGGAGATGAAGTTATCGCAAAAGCTCATAGTTCATCTGACATCAGCAGTGGTGGCTAATGTTGTATAGTTTGTGCTATTCCTTGGCTAACAGTTTTGGACTTCTAAGGGTACAATTAGGACTTTGCTACAAAAGACAAGCATTCAAGTCTCACAGTTGATTGCTCCCCACCACCAATACAACAAAAAAAAAGAGAAAGAGTGGTGCCTGCGGTTCATGAACGCTGTGGCCTATGAACAATTTGTTTCACAACCTAAAATTTCATGAAAAAAATGCAGTGGTTCCCGAACAAAATTTGGTCGACAAACAGATTCCTCGACCAGATTCCTTTTCTTTATACTAGTGTACCACCAGCGGGGCGCATGTCCCAGCATACCCTGCGTGCAATTGTAAATAGAAGGAACACAACAGGCACCCAACAAGCACCAAACCCAAATACACAGACGGGAAAAACAAGGTTGTTAGACATTGAACTGCAAGATGCACACACGGTGGAAGATTAACACATGAGGATCGGACCAGGTACCCACAAGACACGGGCAAACACACGCGTGACAATAGGGAAATGCAACCATTAAAATTAACAACAATACAAGGGTTAAGGACTGTTAATAAAGAGCGTGATTTCCCCAGCAAGCAAGTTTCCACGTCTCTCTCTGCTCCCGCGATGCCTCGGTCCACCCGTCGCCACACTATATTGTGTAGTTTTACTATAAAAACCAGAAAATTAATTAACAAATATTATTTGGTAGGCTTGTGAACAAAATAATCGAATTTCAATGCTTTCTTATAGCAAAAATTGCCTTGGTTCGCGTACAAATTAGTTCGTGACCACTTTCCTGGAACGGATTATGTTCGTGAACCGCAGGCACCACTGTACAACATTGATATCAGAAGTGAGATAAGAACCTACATTTTGTTGAGATTGATACTCCGATAGCTGGGAAGCAAAGGCCAGGGTCATGTTCCCTTACAGGGGCACTTTGGTACCCACTTGCTAAAGGACAAAGATGCTAGTCACCACTTTAAGGTCGCTTGATGTGAGTTTGCATCTCAGCACCAACTGTACTTCTTTAGAGCTGTCAATACAATACATTTAATACCAAGAGTGGGTGCAGATATGTTTTATGGAAGTGTGAGAAAACCTTGAGACCAGTTGAAACAGAGCATTTATGTTATTATTGCTACATTCCCTCATTATTGTATTATTACGGATGCTAGTATGATTACACTATAAGCGGTTACAGTGGGCCCGAAATCTCTTCAGCACCCCTGCCTGAGTCTGCCGTGCCGCACGGCTGGATCAGTAGAATGACGCCACCTGGGTGCCTGAGCTGTGAGCTCAGCATGAATCACAGTTTCTCAAGGACCTCCAAGCATGCTTACTCTGAAAGTCCCAATTAAGTGGCGGAATTTACACGTCGAGACCTTGGCAAGGTATTGAGTTTGGTAATTGTGTTTGTTCATTTCCTCACTCTTAACATTTCAGCAGAATGGTTTTTTTCGTCCTCGATTTAGATGCATGAGAGCAGAAAGGTAATTGGGGGGGTGGCTAAGCTTTTCTGTTCTGCGTTTTTTTTTTTTTTTAGCAGGAAATTGTTGCCTGCATGGACTGTGTCATTCATGCACTGTGACCAGGATCTCGCGGGGAATAGAGTAAATTGGAGTTTCTCTACCAAGAGAAGGCTAAAATTAGCAAGTGGAGCTTATTGGCGTGCTGAAAGTGGTCTCCATGACAGGGTGAGTCTGCCGGTTGCTGATGGTTGGGGAAGCGGAGCACATGGGGAGGAAGAGACAACGGTGAGCTGCCTGCAGACTCCCTGCCAGAATGTGGAACAGCTCAGGGTCTGTACAGCATCCTGGTCCCATTTCAGCCCTAGCGCTCCTATATCGATTCAGTTTATGATGCATTCCGTTTGGTTGTTGACCATGCCAAGACTTCTGAGACTGCTGACTGAGAGATCAGAATCCTAAAATGAAAGAGCATCAGTAAGATTGGCTGTTCCATCAAAACGTGTAGTCTAATGAATTCATCTGCAACAAATATTACATGCTGGAGAGACATCAATTTAGACGCCATCACATAGTGTGGAAGCCGGAACTGTGTATGTGAGCAGCACTATGATGATAGTCACTACTCTGTAAAATAATTATCTGACTGTTATGTCTGCCGCTGATTTTTCCCCTGTGTGAGCTCATCACTTATATCCTACCTTCATTTGGCAGTGGGTATTTTTGTGAGTTAGGATGCTATGCTTGAAATCTGAAGGTTATTGGTTCAAATCCCAGAGTTGGTGGTGTGATTCTACTGTGAGGCCCTTGAGCAGAGCCCTTAACCCCAATTGACCCTGCTTTCTAAAAATGTACATTAGTTTGGGTAAAGGTGTCTGTTAAATACAGGTAATGAGCAATTTCCTCCGGCATCAATAAGGTTTTTCTGATTCTGATTCTGGTTTTCTAAAATTCTGGAGTTGAAATGCATTTAACATATTTACAGGCGAGTCAGTTTGTTTTGTTGGACAGTCAAAGTCTGATGCTTACAGCACGTTAGCAATAACGAGGCACTGTTTTTACTATAAGTTACTTTAAAGGAAAAGACACTGGGAGCATCCCTGACAGTGCAGATTAATTGTAGATGTACAACAATGTACAACATCTAGCTCTGCAATGCCTAGTAAGTTGCTGTATTCATTACCCTGCCTTACAAAATTTGGTATTGGAATTTTGGTATACCACTTTGCTTTCTTCATGTTCTGTGGCGAAACTCTTCATGGTATACTTCCTGACAGGGGCGCCGTAAGGGGGAGGAAAACTAGGACGATTCCAAGGGCCCCTAAGTGACAGGGGCCCTTAAAAATTAGGAAAATAACTGGATTGGTTTGGACTGGGGGGCCTAATATGATATGCTTTCATGGGGCCCAAAATCTCTAGCAACGCCCCTGCTTCCTGATATCATTCTACAAATCCTTAAGGACCATGAACGATAGGTCGTTCTGTTTAACACAAAGATCACGCAGCGGGAGTGAATTACAGCAGGGACTTACGGTGTGCAGGGTTTAACCCCGAGAAAGTCCGGACATATCTCAAACCCCTGTCTGCGACCTCATGCAGGTAGGTGCCGAGCACGCGGATGAATGACGGCTTCTGGCGTGACGTCATGGGGGGGGGCGTTTGGGGAGGGGGAAGGGGGGTGGTTCCATGCAAGCAGAGACCGAGTAGGAGAATAAAGAAAGCGCAGGAGGAGGAGGAGAGAGAAAGAGGCCAGCATCAGCCGAGCGTCCGGCCAGCGCCGAGCCTTCGGATATCCCGGGAATCATTGGTAGAGGGTTCCGAAGATCCCGTAGCGGTGGATCCCGCAGCACCTCCCCTGAGCGGATAAGCCCAGAGCCTCGGCGGCGAGATCAAAGCCACGATGCCGCTACTTTTCGTTTGAGAGTGGACTTATACGATGCAAGTGGAGACGTCCTCCTGATCGCACGGCTGACACTGGAGCGAAGCGCAGGGCTGTATTATGGTAAGTGCTTATCGGTACCCCTGTCACGGCTATCTAGTTATTTTTTACTAAATGCACGGGCCGAAAAAATAAGGAAATACTCGGGTATCGCTGTACACGGCACGGCTTGGTGTCCGATCCCTAGCACGATGCAGCGAAACGGGGGATTTTATTAATTTTGCAGCCGTTTCGCGCTGAGGTTTGACAATCCGCTCCCGCTGTGATACGGGCGTTACATTGTATGCACACAAAAGGCAGAGCCGCCGGAGATCGCCGTCCAGATGTGAAGGGACAAAAGGAGCCCTCGTTTTCAGAAATGTGATTTTAAGGCAGGTTTGACCCACCGCCGCCGCGGGTCGATCCCTCGTTCCGTTTATTTATTTATTTTTTTGTGTGTTATGAGGTACCGCCGCTTGATCTAGCGAACAAGTTGCATTTGCAAGGCTTGCATTTGTAAGGTTTGATTTGGTAAAGCTTATATAAGGGGGCGGGGGTGGGGGGGGGGGGACACGAAACGGGGACCCGCGTCCTTTTGCGGGTTGAAAATGCATCGTTTATGAAAAGTTGTGCTCGGATATTGAGTCCTGTTTGACGGCGCGCTGTGAGTGAATATCAGAAGCACAAAGGAGGTACTGTACCCTTCTGGGCTGCCCCACTTCTACGGGGCCAGCTGTGCCCTATATCCCCTCCTAATTCTCATACCGACCGGTTGATGGAAACCTGGAGGTTCATCCTGCAGGTGGTCCGCCGAGTGTCCCCTAAGCTGCCCCGCGATATAATTCCCCATTCACTTCAACTTAGTGCTGATTTTGTAATCAAACGGAATGTCGGCTCCCTGCTTGTTTGCTCTTCTTTATTTTACATTATTGAGACAGGACCAATGGGTCATCGATGGGAGCGAGGGCCCAAGTCCCAGTCCCAGAAACAATGTACTGGGAGCAGTGTTATGCAAAAAAAAATTTTTTTAATCTTTTGGTACATTATTTATCCCCAGTGCAACTTGATGTTTTAAATGGGATAAGCATCCGATAAAACAAAAACCAAATCCAATTACTGAAAATGCTTTTTACATAGAGTGTAGGCTATTGATTTACCAATCGATTTCTTTGAGAAAACATTCGTTTCAACGGTCTACAGTGCTGTATATTGTGATATAATTTATGACATGTATAATAGCCATAAACTATTTATGCTATTTAGAGAAAATATGTCTACAGTAAAATTATAACCCCAGCCTGCAGCAACAACAAGCAGGATTAGTAATTTGTTGTCTTATAATGCTGTATAATTCCACTGTCATCTCTGTTTATTTACTGGTTTATTATTGCATGTTGTTTGCCGGGAGCGTTTTGCTGGTGATGGCTGAGGAGCTGTATCTTCAGTAGCGGACTGCGCGTGCACAGGCGGTCACACGGTGCACCCTTGTCCTGCCACCCGCTGTCCCATCCGCGCGTACCCGCTTGCCCTTCAGCGCGCTTCCGCGCCGTGCGCGCCGTCTGGGGAGAAGGGAAGCAGTGACCGGCCGGTCGGAAGTCATGACAAGTGTACTGTGAGCTTCAGTGCTACTGAAAATCCCTACACCCCTCCGTCCCTCCCGATGCACGCCGCCTCCCTTACGGCTTCATGACTGGAGCGGTCCACCCGTTTGAGTTTTTCAAGGTAAACTCATTTTACAGGAGTACATTTATAGTAATTCAAATTTACACTAGTCGCTTTAAGAGTATAAATTATGTAAGTGGCTCTGGGTGATTCAGCGTCCCCGAGAACTCGCCTGGGTCCGGCCGGTGGGACGCTAGATGGGCTCAAAGCACCGGCAGCTAAGCGGGTTTTTTTAAGCCAGTCAGTGACAGGTGTCAGGCGGCTTTTCCCGCATCGCTGTTTGTCTCATTTCTGCCGCGAACAGCCGTGAGTCGCGTAAATACAGATCAATAAGCAAGTGTGAAGTCTGCCTTGTAGCGTTTCTGAGGAGCCATCTCGGCGGGGACGGGGACGCAGTCCAGCCGCCCACCGCTTCGGATGTGTTACTTTGGACTATGAGCCACACAACTATATTTATAATGACGGCCGGCGGAGGCGACTGTATCAGATCTCATTCACAACTGAATGACGTAGCCATTCCAGTTGTCTCTCCTCTCGTAGCCCATCCAGTTGTAGCTCTTCTCTTAAACTGACGTAGCTCGTCCACTTGTAGCCCTTCTCTCATACCGATGTAGCCCATCCAGTTGTAGCCCTTCTCTCACACTGATGTAGCCCATCCAGTTGTATCCCTTCTCCCATATAGATGTAGCCCATCCAGTTGTAGCTCTTCTCTCAAACTGACATAGCTCGTCCACTTGTAGCCCTTCTCTCATACCGATGTAGCCCATCCAGTTGTAGCCCTTCTCTCATACTGATGTAGCCCATCCAGTTGTAGCCCTTCTCCCATATAGATGTAGCCCATCCTGTTGTAGCCCTTCTCTCATACCAACATAGCCCATCCAGTTGTAGCCCTACTCTCATACCGATGTAGCCCATCTAGTTGTAGCCATCCTCTCATACCAACGTAGGCCATCCAGTTGTAGCCCTTCTCCCATACAGATGTAGCCCATCCAGTTGTAGTCCTCCTTTTATACTGAGGTAGCTGGTCCAGTTCTCTTTCTTTTCTGTGATTTGTCACTACATCTGATTCTTCCTCTCTCCTTCCTATATGGCAGGACAGACATAGTGGGAACATTGAGGGACTGAGGACGGATTGCTGGGACCTGCCACCCCTGCTGCAGGGCTAGAAGGAAATGGCCCAGAAACAGGGGTCCATCATGCTTGTTTGGAGACCTGCCGCAACCTGTGGATTTGACCGGGAACTGTGAGCACTATCCTTCGCCCAATGTGGGAGTGTCCAGGGAAGGTTGTCTGTGTTGTGTTGCCATGGGGACCCCCACCCAGGATGTCACGTTGGAGAATGGGGACGTGAGGGTCTTTCTGTGCTGAGGTCCCCAAGGATATATGAACAGACCCATGACCTAACTGGACACCATTTATTTATTTTTGAGCAATCCATTGATATATTGCCGCAGTTATTTACATATATAGTTTTAGGTCCCATTTATGTGTCCCTGAGTTAGCTGGCAGTTGCTAAAGTTAGCTTTTCACCGTTCACCGTCTATGGAGCTGTTTGCATAAGCCACCGTGCCCCCCCCCCATGCGATGACACCCCAGGCCATCTGTAAGCCATGGCATCGCATCCACCCCCCCTCTTCCTCCACGACTTTGAGCTGGGCGGGCGTTTCGTGGACTTGCGTCCGCTAGGCTCTGGCTCCACGGGGCCGGTGCTGTCGGCCGTGGACCGGCGCAGCGGGCAGCGAGTGGCAGTAAAGCGGCTGCCCATGCGTGACGCCGTGTCTGTCAAGCGGGCATTACGCGAGGTCAAGATCACGCGGCGCTTGCGGCACGACAACGTGGTGGCTGTGCACGAGGTGCTGGGCCCACGGGGGCAGGTGCTGCGCCCCGGTGCCATCTGCCTGCCCGCCCTCTATGTGGTGCAGGAGTGCATGCAGACGGACCTGGCGCGACTACTGGAGGACGGGCCGCTGCCTGCTGGACACGCCACGCTGCTTTTCTACCAGCTGCTGCGTGGCCTCAAATTCATCCACTCAGCCAATGTGCTGCACCGTGATCTCAAGCCCGCCAACATCTTCGTCAACGTAGACCAGTTGATGCTGAAGATCGGCGATTTTGGTCTGGCCCGCATCGTCGACCCCCGCTACTCGCACAAGGTGAGGCTTGCGCTGCTCCCCTCTCCATTAAGGGGGCTTTTATGCAGTTATAATTGCAATTTCCTTCAAGATCAAATATGGCTATCTGTCTGTCTGTCTGTCTGTGTATTTCTGTCATATCTATCATCTGTTTTGTTTATCTATCTATCTATCTATCTATCTATCTATCTATCATCTATCTATCTGTCTGTCTGCCTATCTGATCTTCATTGCGAGCCACATGTACACATATGTACACTTACACTGTGTTTGTCTTGGCCCTGTGAACGAGGCTTCACAGGGGGAAAGAGAAGTGATATGATTGTATTCTGGGTACTTGTCTCAGATTGTCCTTGTGACTCTGTGGGCATCTGTTAAGCAGTGATACCCATGCATTCATAACACTCTATGATGATGATGAAGTCATTCTGCGACGGAGACTCTGAGAGTATTTTAATTACCCCCGATTAGGCTGAGAGCACTGTGCCGCACGGAGGAGCTGCAGATTCGGTAATCCCGGCTGCTCACTTCCACGCCTTTAGTCGTCTGTCTGGCTGTTTGGCTGGAGAGGTAGCCAATATGTAAAGGTCCTTCATTAAAGATACATTTGTCCTCCAGTGACCCTCCTCTGTAACCATAGCAGAAGATGGGAGCCGGGGAAATAGAGAAGTCGTGTTCATCTCTGATGGACTCAATTACATACGTCTTTCTGCCCATTTGAGCAGCTATGCCACCCAGCCCCCGACGGCTGCCCTCTGACCCTCCCACCATTTGGGGGGGGGGGTGTCATTTGCCTGGCATGTCTGTCGATCCATTAAATAGTCTGCAAGCCTGTTTTGTCACTTTAACGAAAACGTGAGTGTTTAGATGAATAGAAATGACCGATTAAAGGGGCACGGTCATATTACACCCACATGAACATTCAGATGCAGCTGAAAAGTGATCAGAGCGACCCCTGGGCCAGAACACGGAAGCCGCATCGGTCCCGGGAGGTTAACGTGCCGATCCGCCGCCGCATTGTGAGGGCCTGTTACGGGACGGACTGGCGGGGTAACCCGAGCCCCGTCCCACCGCCCTTCAAAGGGGACCTTTGTCACTGCAAACGAGAGGAAAGAAAGATGAGTGGAGCCTGAAGCCGGACATGGGAAGAAAGGATGGGAGAGCGGCGAGGGCGACATCAGGGGGCACAGCCACACACACGCACTCACCTATGGGCATGACCCTAATGTCAACCAGGCCCACCGTCTATCTTGCTGGTACCTGGGTACTCACACACAGGTGTTTCCCGGCTGCACGCAGGTTGCTGACTGGCGATAACATGCACAGCGCCTGCTCCATTTGCACACTGCAGAGAGCTCTTACTAAAATACAGGCTAAGGAAAGCGGAAGCCACACCTACAAAATTCAATCATATTACAGACTCGCTCGCATTCTCAACTTTAATGCTTTGAATTTGTCCATTGAAAACTTTATAACAAACTCGTAATTTAATGATCTCTACAGGATATTCATAAAGACAGACATAAACATTCTATAAGGAAATATCACAAACATTATAAACCAATTTTCTCATTAATGTTACAGTAATAATCCATAACTGTTTCTTCAGTCACCTCTGCTGTCACTCTCTATTTTTCATCTCCTTTTCTCTCCACCTAACTTTTAATGATTTGCAATTTTGACAGGTGATGGGGGGGGGGGGCAGGTGGGCAGGTGACTTTACCATGGCATGGCAGACCAAACCATTTTTTGCATCCTAGGGAGGGAAACTAAAATTGTTTTCGACCACAATGTCAAGTAAAATGAGAAAGATAAAAGTAACAAGCTTTTATGACATTCACAAATACTATATAAAGTGTTCGGAAATATGTATTTTTGACAAATTAATCCAGTAGCTCTAATCCCAACTATGACAACCTTAACCCCCCCAGCCCTCACCTTATTCATAAGTAACCAAACAAAATACATTTCTTATTGCTGTCACAGATTTTACAAGTTAAGAATTTTAGAAGTTTTAAGAAGTTAAGGTTCCCCTTTGGAGGACCAAAAAATGTTCCCATAACGTCAAAAAAACAGGTTTTTATCACATTGTGGGGAGGTTTGGTCCCCACAATGTAATGTATACATGACCACATTGGCACACACAGACACACATAAACACAGACAGACACACGCGTGTGCTGCTGAGACTATGACAGTGGCAGACATCCACTGTGACATCATCGCTGTTCCCCTCTGTCACATGACGCTTGACGTTATGGTGGATGCAGGTCAGTTTGTCTCACAAGCTTCTTTGAGGTGCTTCCCTGTTCACTGCCCCCATCTCACATGGACACCTGGACCTCCATTCACCGGGGGGGCTCTTGCAGACAGCCTCTGATCACTGCTTGCCCAATGATGCTGAGCGTACTGGCCTGGGCAGGCAGCAAGTGAGGGGGATGATACTGCTGACTAATGCTGTTGATATAACATTTATCACCCCCCCCCCCCCCCCCCCCCC